GAGGATTTGCTCCATGATCTTGCCAGGCTATATGGTTAAAGTGTTGTAGTGAATAGTATTAAATTTACTAACGTAGTAAAAGATATACTTTAATTTCAACCTTCATTTAAAATGTTGTTATATATTCAGTACTTAGTAGAAATGTCTGTAGCTGAATTACTTTGCAAGCTTACTATGTCAGAATATATTTCAAAAATAATTTGCCACAAGACTAAATTATTCATTTATAGCTTAATAAGTGCTGATAATTTTCTCTGCTTTGAAAATATGCGATTATTTGTGCTTAAAAAAAATCAGCTGAACAGCCTCTTACAGGAACTGTTTTCTAAGACAGGTTGCGTGTATGTAATGTTAAGTAAAAAAGTGTTCATAAATAAGCAAACTCTATTTCAATGGGTTATTTTTTCCCAGAAAAAGTAATTTCAGTGAATGATGTACAGGCATATGTTTGAGCTAAATTCTGCTATGAATTTTCATACTTATATCTAGACCTTTAAAACTACAGTAAAAGAGAGAAATGTTTAATCTTAAAAGCATTTATAGATTTGTATCTCTTTTTGTAAACAAATGTAAAATGCAAAGCTTATTGTTGCTTTATTTTACACTGCCTTGAGAGGTTTTTTTGTTAGTAATTTTAAGGACGTTACTAAACATATACTTTAATGTATTTGATTATTTCTGAGATAAGTATCAAATTCATACTTTGAATCAGTTAAGACTATTCCTACTGCTTTGAACTTAAGCCATTTCCTTTATGTTATAACTTCAAGAGACAAGAAACTTGAGGGGCTGAGTCTTAAAAACTGTCTAATCTAAGTATTAGTCTTAATTGTAGACGTCAATGAGTGACTAAGTAAAAATAGATTAGTAAAAACATCTTAAATGTTAAGGGATATACTGATCTGTGCTAATCCACTAAGAGTAGATTTTCTAGCCGTCTGTATTGTTTCTCCTACCAAAATATCTGCAGCAAATTAGGCTTTTATTTTAATGTATATCTCAAATGTGTTAGAGGGAGATCTGTCTGACAAACCTGTTACAGAGTATTAAAAATCTTAATTCACAGTTTTATTCCTGGTAATACAAATTTAATCAACTTGATATGTTATCATTACTCTCTGCAATAAAACAATATTTTTATCAATATTTGCTTGTGCCTAGTGTGCCCCCTTTTAGCTAGACAGCTGCCTTCAAGTGAGTAGAATAAATTAATACTGTCCTAATTAAAATTTATTCCCATGTAAAACGAAAAAATATGCAATTATACTCTAACCTTGTACAAGGCATTTGTGTCAAACTTGGTGGACCAGTAATTTAATGAGATGGAAGGTTATATTCCTTACATTTTATGTGAAGGGACAGTTGGTTACTTTCAGAAACAATTCAGCACTTTCTCATGCCATTCTTGTTCTGATTTGTTCATATTAGCAAGAGTACATTGTTCAAAATCATAGAAGAAGGAGGGAGAAAAAAGAAGAGTATTTCTCTTTTAATCTAGAAGATAAGGGTATAGTAGGATGCAATGGCTGAAAGCGTAAACTAGAAGTTAGGCATTTGGGGTTAAGTATTTACAGGATGTTGTGCAGACCAGTCACTACTAGTTCAACAAATCTCTTCACTACTTTCCATTGAATTGTGTAACGACTCAGGCAATACTTCAGTCGGCGTGCGCGTTGCTTAATATTTTTATACTTAAGAGCCTTGTGGGTTCTGCATCATGCTAATCTGTGTTTTATTCACTGATTTAATTATATACAAGGTGGATGGAAGAAATTTTGTAACTTATGTTACTGGATGATGTTAATAGTCTCATCCTCAGGTGATGCAAGATGGTGTGATACTCCATTTCCATTGAACTATACTGATAGGTAGGACCTGGGAGTTGGACCATATAAACTGAACAAACTTCAATTTTCTTGTAAGTGCAAGGTGTTGTTCTCTCATGGCAAGGCATATATAATGTTATAAAACCAGACATTGGATAGCAGTATTTTAAACAGAATTATATCCTACCCCATTGAGGTGGAATGGATATAAAATGTGTTCGGTGTTTTTGAGGTGCACTCAGCACAGGGAAACTTGCAAATTTCCTCTAGTAAGTCTAGTAAAAAATTGTTCCTTCTCCTCTGTCAAAATTTATTTATTGCATCATGAAATGTTAGAAAAACACATAAGTTTTAACTTGGGAAAGATAAAGCTCACACAAAAAAACAGTAAGCTAAACAAAAAGTGGTACCCTCTTTGCGTCCTAAAAGCCTAAATCAGAACGCTGATGCTGGAAGGTCTGGGTAAAGATCTTGGGCATTTTTCAGCATGATGCTTCTTCCTTGACCAGACAGTTCATCACATGCTTAGCTCATCCCTTCCTGCCTGGTGAGCAGGTGAGAATTTTATAAAAGAGCAGCTTGGATTTCTCAGGGATATTGTGAGACACTCCCATTAATTAGATCTTTAGACGGGAATGTGCTTTTGAAGAGCAAAGTATGAATATTAAATTGTTACGTACAAGGTACATTAGTGTTCTTGCTAGTGCCTCCTTTGCTCAAACCACTCGTTTGAGATGTTGCCTGGGATTTTTTTTTAGCACAACTTAGAAATTCACGTGTCCAAACTGCTTTTTATGGTGTTCAATACTATTGGAAATGTCTTGTTGCAGGAAAAGATTAACAAGGAATAGAATTAGTCCCTGAGACAACTGATCCTGAAGAGTTTTGACCTGACTTTTCAGTCTCTGCTGGAGTTACCATCCTCATCCCATGTGCTCCATCTGCTGGGCATGCTGTCAGATTAATTTAGACACTGTTCATGTGAGGCAGCTGCTGGTGGCAACAATAATATTCTGTTCCTAATTAATTTGCCTTGCAGGTTTTTGTCTGAACAGTTAATAGGCTTCTTTCTTCCTAGACTTTGGGGAGAAATTAGGGAGAAATGTCTTTGTTTGTTTAGAGCCTGGGCACTTAGCATTGCTGTTTCCTGGGACACAGAATATTATTTTTTTAATGCAATGTTCTTCTACTCAAGTGGTAAAAATTTTCTTGAGCAAATCACTTTTACAAGTTCAAGCCTGGGAGAATTCAGCACATGGAAAACTTGGGAGTGAAAGTGGGTGGAACTTGTAGCTTCCCCTGAAAACGTATTAGTTGGACAAGAGACAAGTGCTTCTAATCGGCTTTATGTGCCCCAAGAAAGGAGAACACTCAGTTTGTAAATTGAAATACAAATGAAAAAAAAACAGTTCAAATTAAGGCCTTATTTTCATGAATGCTTTACATGTAACAAATATGCTTATAAGTTGTAAGTTTGTTTTAAAGAAAATTTTTGTTTTAAAGCAAATTTTACTATTTTGTGACTGGGTAACTATCCAAAACGTGCAGAATCTTGAACTGTTCCTCTTTCCCCTTCCCCAGCATGAGGTTAGCCTAAAATTAGTGCTATTTTAAAATAAATGCTGCCTAGTCTGTGAATTATTTTTATCTGTCTTCTGGTATCATTATATTGTGCGTGCTTCCTACTTTTTAAGCATTTCTGAGGACTAGAAATGTTAATTTTCCTACTCGGAATTTAAATGTGCTGAATAGTGTTGATAACAGTTCGCTGCTGTTCCTGCCAAGAATCATGCTGGCTTTACAGCAACGCAATCAATAAAATTAATGATATGACAATTGGGGAGCTCCTGTTCTTCATGGTACTATCTGAAATGTCAAAGAGCAGTTATTGTAGAGATCTCTGAGCAGTCCCCCCATAGACAGAACTTGCAGGGAACTCCCACTGTTCTGAGTTTGGTCTATAACATAGGCTGTCTTTGAAACTTTGTGCAACTTTGAAAGTTGCACAATTGTTCTCCTCTTTCCTCTGTTAAACATATGATTTCTGGTTTTAAGATTGATATGACCTACTTCTTGGAGACTTAATATTTGAAGATATTTTCCTCACTTCAATGCGGAGATTTTTCATCAATCTGCTTTGTTTCTTTTTATGTATTTGTGTTTAGACGTAGGTTTTTTGTCAGTGTCTTATCTCTCATCCTTCTAAGAGCCTTTAAAACTTGTGCTCTGAATAAGCATTGCAAAACGTTCAATTAAACAGGATTCAGGTGGATTTGGGTGGAATACGAATTGCCAGAAATAAAAAAAAACTTATTAGGTGTTTTTTTTTCCTTTTCTGTGTGTTTAATGCAAAAGTTCCTTTGTTAACTGCCTTAACTCCAGCTAAACCTACCCTCTGAACTCGGAGAGTGACAACGTGACCAGCTACATCTGTGTAGTCCCCTTTAAGGAGCTGGGTCTGGGACTGAGCGAAGAGCAGGTCTCTGAAGAGGAAGCACACAATCTCACTGATGGCTTCAGCTTGCCTGCACTCAAGGTAACCTCTCCTAGAAGGACACACGGATACACACAGGCTCCTTTCAGTTGTCACGAAGTCCTGTGGCTTGTAGGTACTAGTCTGTAGTAACATGGTCAAATGAGGGGGAGATGTAATCCATCTCACATCATGTGTGTCTACATTTATCGGCATTTAGGTGATTTCTTTTTGCATGTAGTTGAAGGGAAGCTGCAGAATACAACATCAAGATATTTTTCTGCAAATCCTGTAAATTCAAGGCAGCATTTTATAATCAGCTTGATCAATCTTCTTCTTAAACATGATTTTTTGCTCTCTGATTTCACTTGATCCCAGATGAATAAAATAATTTCCAGATTTGTACTTACATCTTTTTTTAGCTAATCTCTTGACTTGAATAAAAAGAGAGACATCAGATGATATAAATCAGATGTAATTGCCAAAGGGAATAGCTGCATTTAGTTATACTGAGGAGTAGAAATCATAAGCTTGGACCCCTGCTGCTGTGAGCCAGTGTGGTTCTTTGATCTTTGAAAATCATTTAACTGAACAGAATGACAACCATATAATGGCCTTTTTATCTATTTTGTTTTGAGATGTGTTAGGTATTTTTAATTTGCATGGGTCAATGTTTGCAACTGGAAAGAAGATGTAATTTGAATGCAAGCCTTCTACATGCTAGTGGTTCTCTGCTGGGGCAGTTCCCTTTTACTATTATTTTTCTAATGGAAAATTCCATTATTTTGTGACTTCTGTGTTTCTATGGGGTTGGCTCTTGTTGCATTTTATTCACTTAATTCCTAAGCCTTGACTTCTTTTGTTTCAACAGTAAATGTTTCCAGTAATAGTGATTGCTAAGCTTTGAGGCTTTGTCTAATTAGTTGTAAGCTAAAAGCTACATCAGATGTAAGCTTTTGGAATTTTGTTCTTGACTTTTCATTAGCTGAAGTTCTAATTGCAACCATGCAAGCCCACTTTTTAAGAGCAAGAAGGCAGTCAGAGGTGCCCAAGCTTGTAAGCGAAGGCTTTGTTTACCTGTAATTTGCAATAATTTAACTGAAGTCTGTTTTAGTTAAACTGGTTGGGATGCTTTCTGGGCAGAGTTAGGCTCACAACTAGTAAATCTCAGTTTGCATTAAGTCATAACAGACAGTGTTGTAGGCTGGGCATGGTGTAGTTGAACCAAGCTAAATTAGCATAAATCAGTCCTAAGCAGATTCTTGTGCAGATAATAAAATAGATATACTTTGATAATCTTGGGACGTATTTGTGTTGCGAGCCCTGGATTTATGTGCAGTCCCCTTCAGTTGTTTTTAATCTGAGATAACTTGTCTTTATATTAAAATGCAGGTAGAGTACAGACATGTATCCAAATTTTATTAATATTTTAATTTTCATTTAAGCCGATGTCTAAGCCATATGACAAATGTAGCCTGTATCTTTTGGCTACCTTGTCCTTGAACTAAACCAATTTAAAGAGTGAAGATTTTTAGCTTAAGAAAGAAATACCAGTTCAAGCTGAGAAGAGCCAATTGGATGTTTTGGGTGAAGTTTAAGTGTCAGTAAAAGTCATAAGTCATTAGCAGAGCACACTATTTGCAACCCTAAGTACATCTGGAATTTCCTTTTCTCTCATCATTGTGCCTTTTTTCAGGTAGGTTTTGGATTATTATTATCAATTCCTGAAGTCCATTACTTTTGTGTGCTGGTTTTTCACTGCTTTTGCCTTATGCCTGGTGGAAGGGATTGGTCTTCTTTTGTGCTTATTATAGCATGAGCCCTTGGCTTTCTGTTGAGGGCATTGCACCTTCAGGGACACTTGGGTGATGCTGCCTGTTTGTTTGCTTTTTATTTTAGCACCCAGCCAAATTGCAGTCTTGCATGTGTGTCCCAAATTAATTTCATATCATTCTGTGTTCTTTCTTCTCATAACTTGTACCTTAGGGTATATCAGATCACATCTATCCTGAAGGTACTTTATTTTGTGTTACTGTTCTAAATGTTTTGGTTTTTATTGTTCACGCACTGGAAAAAACTGCTACTTGTCCATAGTAGTGTGAGTACAAAGATACAAATATAGTATTTCAAATGCTGTAAACCCAAAATCTCAGAACAAGTAAATTGTTAGTCTTATTCTGTAGCTGAAGGGGGTGGAAAATAGCATGATAAGTAATTAATGTTCTGTAATGCTTGAGAACAGGTTTCAGACTACACCTCATAGTCACCTGCAGCAGATCCCTTTTAATTAGGGCCAGTTTTTCAAAGTGTCATAACCTTTCCTTTTAATCTTAGAGATATAAGATGTTGCTGTTCTGTCATGGCCTACTGAGCCAGCAGTCTTCTCTAAACTAGGAAGAGTTCTTTTCATTTCATTGGAAGTGGAAGTTCTCAAGAAATTGAAATTGTGGGTTTCCTTGCTCACAGATGGACTAACCTCTTTTGTACCATATATAACGTTGTGAATTGATTCACTTCTTACAAGCCTTTCCCTCCTTAGTGGTATTGGTAAAATTTCTCACTTTGGCTGAAAGAAAATAAAAGTTATCAGCTCAGCTTTCTTCAGATATAGAATGTTTTTTGTTGAAGTACAGTGCAATTAGACTCATGTTTCAAGGTTGGGTGTGGGGCAATGCAGTAGTTAGTAGATGGTAGAAATGATAGCTTGGCATTATAAAGGAAAAAATATCTGTGCTGCCACTGGAATTTTGGCAGCCCTTTATGAGCTGTAGGGTATGTGCACATTATAGCAAGTAATGAAACTGTCTGATGAGAATGAGAGTTTTTAGGCCTCTGACAACCTTCTGAGCATAATTGCATATACTATCCTTCATGAAAGAATTAACAGTCACCTAAGGTTCACAAGATCTGAACCTCACACAGTCTGGGATACTCTTCAAAAACATTCAGCAGATTTTCGCAGTTTCTCAAAGTTCCTGTTGCTGGCCGAGGAATGTTTTCCCATGGTGTATCTGTACATTTACTTTGGAGGCTGGCTGTCTTCCCAGGTGCAGAGAGATAACCCTACCCTCTTTTGCAGGTCCTCTTTCAGCTCTGGGTAGGGCAGAGTTCAGAATTCTTCAGGAGGCTGGTGCTGCTCCTCTCCCCAGCCAATGCGTCCCCCAAACCCTTGGTCTCCCCTGAACGGCTGCCTCATCATATCTTGTCTGATGTGACCCAAGGCCTACCTCATACACATGCTGCCTGCTTAGAGGAGCTTAAGCGAAGCTATGAGTTTTATCGGTACTTTGAAACTCAGCATCAGTCAGGTTTTGAACGGACAGCCAGAACAAAGCAGAAATCAAGAGAGCTGAACAGTCTCCAGACAGCGGTACGCAGCTTGCAGCTACATCTCAAGGCACTGCTCAATGAGTAAGTTTACACATGAATTAAGAGAATATGCCTGTAGGAAGAAAGCTTCAGACTTGAGTTCTTTGGGTTGTCAGCTGGTATCCCAGATTAAACCCCAAAAAGGCAGGTATGTATAGTCATTGCAATCATAGGCATATCTTCACTTAGTATGGGGTCAAAGATCCTTGGTTCAGTACGGAATCTGCTGTTGTTTCCTGGTTATTCTTTAAGTCTCTGGTGAAAATGGAAAGCTAAGCACTGCATTAAAATCTTGCCTTGCTTTTGTCACTCCCTTGAAAAAATTTGAAAACATCTTTCATTGATTTTGCAACATACCAAGTGCTTCATAAGAAAGTTCAGCTCATAGTAACTAACTCGTAAATATTTTTAAAGATTTGTCACTGCCTTGGTGAAATAATTGAAACTGACCTACTCCTTTAATCTTACATATAAGAATTACTGTAACCAATGCAAGTGAGCAACGTATCTTGATGGGGAGAAAAGGATCGTATTTTTAAAATTTTCGGACATCTTTGAGGGGTTGGCTGAGTTAGATTCTTAAAACTTGAAGAAAATAACAAGATATTAAATTAAATACTTGAAGGAATGGTGAAGTCATATAATTATTATTACTTATTTCTGTTCATCTCCTCATCACTTAGGGTAATAATTCTTGAGGATGAACTTGAAAAACTTGTTAGCACTAAGGAGACACCTGAGTTGACAACAGAAGCCCATCAGGTTCTGGAACAAAAACTAAAGTTTATTCAGCCTCATATCCAGGCAAGCAACAGCTGCTGGGAAGAAGCCATTTCTCAGGTGGAAAAAATGAGTGGAAGAAACCCAAATAAAAAAGGTAAATGTGAGAGATTAATTCAGCAACTAATAGGATACACTTTAGAAATTGAATAGTCAAATGGATCAACGACAGAGTTCAGCCTGTGTATCAGAATTTTAGCTGAAGGTCTCACAAGCATACACGTTGAAAAACTGTATACATATGTCAGACTTTTTCATTGTGATGGCCTTGAAGCTTTTGTTTTAGCAAAAAAATGTAAACATGTTAACTGTCTGTTAGACCTGTGTATTCAGATTGTTACATTTCCAGGTGTAGACTGATAGTGGCTTTTTGCCTTTGATTGGTGAATCACATGTGAGGGGGTAGGATTTCGATGAATACCCACTTACCTGCTCTCTCAGAGAGAGTGAGCTCATCTTCTGTGTGCTTAAAAGTCATACTGAGCAGCATCTTGCAGCATTTTGCCTTATGTCCCTTTCCTTAGTGACCTGCACTGCCCATGCTGTTCTCCTTGTGAATCACAGATAGCTTAAATAACAGAAGTGAACTTAGGCTCTTCTGCAACGGAGTGGAACCTATAATTTTTAATCTTTCTTTTTTTCCAGGAGATTTTTTACTGTCCTAGAAAGCCACAGCTCAGCATCTCAAAAATGCTGGTAACGGAGACTGCATTAGGAAAATTATGATTTGGGGTATCAGAAAGTTACCTGCAGAGATCCAAATCTGTAGTGAACTGAGCTGTTAATGATACATGGGTGGGATATCCAGTAGATGGATGAACATTGCTGTGGGCCTAGAGGTGTGCAAGCTGACCTTCTTCACGCTTGCATCAGAACTGGGAGCACTGGGAGGCCTAATGCAGGCTCCGTGCAGGTCCAGACATGGTATAACCAAATTTGTGTGTACTTTGCCTGATAGTCTAGTCTTACAACTTCCCTCTCAGTGCTGTGTAAAACAGCCTATGAGGATATTAGATGCAGCCTGATACATTTGCATGTGCTAGCCTGTTGTGTTTTGTTGATGCTCTCCATAACCAGCAGTTCCACTGATCTTTTTTTCCCCTTTCTTAAATGTTCTTTCTAGACTGCACGTTACAGCATTTTTAGTTACTTTAGTTTTATTTTTACTTTGTGTATAAATTTCACAGCAGGCACTTCTATTATAACTTGCTTCCTTTTAAAGTTCAGTACAAAAATAACCAACCTAGTGTGTGATCTAGAAAGGAGGGATTCGTGGAAAATAAAAATAAAAAAATCCTTCACTTTCACTTTTGCCCAGTGACTTTCCTGGAAATGTGCTGGGGTTCAATCTCTTTTGTAACGCATTTACTGAATTACTCCACAGGAGCTACTTTTAAATTATGTTGGTCATTGAAAACTTTTTATCTGACTACATTTGACTTCCCTGATATATTTTTAAGCAGTCCAGCTTCCGTGAGTTGACCTTTTCAAACTGTGTGTGGAATCAAGTCTAATTCTTCTGCTGTCTTTCTACAAATCTTAACAGCTGCTCTGTCAGTTATGATTAAGTGAATGACTTCATTAAATTATCTTTTTTTTTTTTTTCAATGCCTCCTGAAAGCTCTTTAGAAGAAGTTGAAATAATATAGCAACTAAGCACATCTTTCTTTTGTCTTTACACACTATTATCCAAAAGCTGTAGCAAGAACCCCATGGTAGTAGAACATTGTGTCTGGATGCCCAGCACTTATGCTGCAGTAGTTGTTTAGTTCAACTGACTAGTTCAACCAGTAGAGCAGTGGGAATACCATTTTCAATGTCAGTTATGAACACTGTTGAAGAAGGAGCTGTTTCTGATGGCTTAGACCCAGTTTTGAGAGGAAATATTTCATTACATAAAAGCTGTATATATTTGTTATATATTTTTAGCGGTATCTCATAATTGTGCTTGGTATTTAGACAAAGTAAATATTTTTTAATTCTTAATCTATAAATACAAAGTGTATCCAGTATTTAAATTTACTGTTTTCTTGGGTTTTGTTCTTACCATGTTTCTATACCAAGCAAAAATATATCTTTGCTTGTCCTTGGTTCCTACTGGTCTCAGCACAGGAAGGTTTGCTTCCACGAGAAGCAGAAGTCAGCTCAGCACTTGCAGCAGCAAAGGGCCTGGGTTGCTCTGCAGAGAGGAAGAAACTGGGAACTGATTGGTCCGTCCAGCATCAGAGCGCTGTTGTTGAACCAGGAGTTGAAAGTTTCCAACTGCTAAAGAGCTGTTTTGAACTGTGGGCAATCCTACTTGTGGCATCCTATGTAGCTGCCTGTAACTTATTTTCAGAGCAGTTTTGCATATCTTTAATTGTTTTCTGTATAAACAGATTAATCTCCTTCAGCAAGCATTGCATGCTTCTTGCTCTAAATCATTCTGTGTCATAGCAGGTTTCTTACAGCTACATTAAATAGTTCATTGTGTCAGACTCTTGTCAAAATGAAGCCTTTCATGGGTGGTGATACTAGCCTATATTATAGTATATGGTTACTTCAGTGAATGCCATTTGGCTTCTTTGTTTACAGGACTTGGTGTATTTCTAGAATCAGTGCTGTTAGTCACTGATCCTGTCAGATTCAGAACAGAGCCTGAGAGCAAGTGTGGCTTTAGCACCCTGAGGAGAATTCACCCCTACTTAAATTCATTGGGCAATGATAGACTGACCTATCATTGCTCCACATGTTCATTTCCAGCATGAGCTAATTCTAGACTTCCAGCTATCTTCTCTTTATTCTTTCACCTTTTTTCATCACTGATAAAACTGATCTACCACGTAAGGCCTTGACAATTTAAGCATGTAGTAATCTGCTTCTAATTTTACAGAATGGAATACCCTTTATGAGTAGTTGCAGTGTTGTTTTAATGATCTTTGAGGTAATATCCCTCAAACTGTTTAAATTCCATCCTCTTTCCTTTTAAACTATCTCTGTCTTTGCAAATGTATACAACATTTTTAGATATTTATAAGAGCAAGGTCATAGTACCCCGCTGCAAGCTCCTGGATCTTGCAGTCCTTTGATCCACTGGAGAGCAACTAAAGCAGCAGTAGTTTTAGTTAAACACTGTGAATTCATGATCTTGAAGCATATCCTTAACAATGGCATCATCCCCTATAGCTGGCAAACAGAGCAGCCTGTACATATTAGAGCAGATGGTTTACTCCTTTGATTTAGGAAGGCAAGCTTTTAATTGGTAACTTCCATATACTCTTACAAATTTGTTTTCATGCCTTCAGAAGCATATTCTATAGTTGCTGTCATTATTATTATTATTATTATTATTCAAAATGTTTTATTCCAAGGCAGAGTTATGCAATGGACAAGGAGTCTTGATATTAATAATATAAATATCTCATGTCAATTTTCCACTTACTTCAAATTTCACTATATGCTTCACCTTTCTTTTAAACTTTGCATTTAGATACTCCTGGAATGTCAAATCTTTAGCTCAGCCCAGGCAACTAGGAAATTACATGCTTTCCTTGTTTGCAAAAGCAGGTGACTGAGCATCTTTAAAATTGTCATTAATGTGAACTGCCTGCTTTCAGAATACAATCCCTAAATAATCAATGTATAGATTAGAAACTGAAAACAGGGAAAGATGGGGCTTGGCGAGGTCATCTACCCCATTTCCCTTCTCACGGGTAAATTAGTGAGTAAATGTTATTTACCTGTTCCTAAAAACCTCTCTTTAGAGACATTTTACAGTATTTCCAGGCATCTATTCCAGCACTTAACTCCATTACCAGTAGAAAGTTATTATTGAATATAAGTCTCTCTTTCTGCAATTTAAAAGTGGTACTTTTTATCCACCTACAATGGAAATTCATTTCCTCTCTTTATAACTCCTACATTTTTGAAGATAGCTGATTTGTTTCTTTCTATCTATCTTCTCTGCATGACTTTGCGTCCTTCAGATCTTTTCTGATGACTATATTTAGCCCTCCGATCACTTCCACTGTTTTTCCTCTGGACTCTCTCTAGTTGGTCCACAATATTATTGAATGAAGGAGACCCAGGCTGGGCACTGTGTTCCATCCACAGCCTGATCAGTGCCAGAGTAGAAATGTAATTTAATGTGTCTAGAAGTCAGTGCTGTTGTTTATATGTACTACTATGTAGTCTGACTTTTTGCTTGCAGCAGGGTATAAATGACTACTAGGCTCCTCACAGTTTTTTCTCAGTGGTGCTGCCCAGTCAGTTGTCATATATATATATATGACTATTCCAAAGCACAAAAATTTGCAGCCACTGCCACCACACTGGTGTGTCTGAAATCCAGTTCTTCCTGGGCTGTATCTTTGATTTTTCAGTATTATTTTCTCTTCTAATTGTGCCCTTCAGTATCCTTGCAGATTATCCTGATGTCAGTAGATTTAATGAGCTGAAACACTTTTCTTTCACCCACTGGAAGTGAATATTAAAGAGATTGGACTTGAGACAAATCCTCACTCAATATATTGTTCCTGTCTGAAAATGGTAACTACACTCTGATTATCAAAGAGGCTATTCTATGCAACTAATAGCAACTTCTCCTCACCTATACATTTTGCTTATAAGTATGTCATGACACCATGTCAAAAGCCACACTGAAAACAAAATGCAGGATGTCTTTCGCTTCTTTCTCTTAATAAGACCTGTTACTGCATTGGAAAATGAAATTGGAGTGATTTGACATCATCTGTTCTCAACAAACCCACACTGGCTGTCATTTATCTCCTTGCTACCTTCCAAATAGCTTCCTGTAAATTTTGCTTGATTATTCTAGTATTTTCCAATGAGTTGAAGCTGATTTGCCTTTAATTTTACCATGTGACTTCTCTTTTTAAACTTGGGCACTAAGTCTCTTTTCTGGTTTTAAAATTCTTTCCATCTGCAGGTTTTCAAAATTATAAAAAATTTGAGATTTCTTATTTGAAGTATTTCAAGGTGAGTTTCATCAGACACAGCTTATATCAAAATAGCCAAGTTATTTACATCCTCTCTAACACAGTGTTTCAAAGTATTCTAACCAGCCTTCCCATGATTTTTTTAATGTGTGCCAATCCTCCCTGATGAAGGTGCCTGGACCCTGCCTGAGTGAGTCAAAAACATTATTCAACACTCAATCTCTTTTTTTTTTTTTTTAATCCCTTTTCTTCTTTCCCCCTGAAGGCAAACTTGAAGTTTCCTGTGACAGCCTACAGCGTACTACAGTACCTTTAACCCAGTCTGCCATACACATAGAAAACAAAGATCCAATCCCTGAAGAGCAGGTAAAAAAACCAAAAAGAACCATTTAAAATAATAATTGGGGCTTTTTTCCTGTATCCGTTCCTTTTTCAGTTGCTTGTGCAGTGACCTTGTCTTGCCAAAACAAAACAAGTAGGTAGCCAGTGCCATTTCATAACTGGACTTATAGAAAAAAAACAATTTATATTCATTTTGCTGTTCCATGGGGAGGTATTCCCCATCCTGGAAAAAAGAGCACTAACATTCACTTCTTCTCCTAAATATCATTAGAAATAAGTGACAAAAGGAGAGAAGCAACACAAGTCAGAGTAATATAGAAAAAAATGTGAAGTGCTAAAAGGTGAAATATAAAATAGAGTTCTACTTGCATATTGTTAGATGAATGGACATGACTGCAAAAGTGACAAGCTCCAGAACAAAACCATCTCTCTTCAGTTTCAGTAATCTCTGCATTTTTTGATACCTAAAACAGATTGTGACATGGAACAGTTTTGTGTTGTTTGGTTGGTTGGGCTGTCTTGAAGAGAGGCTGGCCTCCTCCATCCCTGAACTTAGTGGCAGATACATTCTGAAAGCAGATGGAACACCCATGCTCTGCTCTGTCCCTCCCTTGCCTTCTCCCAAACCTAGCCCACATGTATTCTCTCTAGATTTTTTCCCATATCAAAGAGCTGGGACTAATAACTTTACTGGCTGTTTTAACAGAAATAGAGCTGTTTTTTTCATGCTTGTAAGCCAATATAGTTAAAATTGGAGGAGGAGTTTGCTATTCTCAGCATTTCCACCCGTTAATTATGGGGAAATGGACTCCCATTTTCAAGGTATATCACTTGATCATACTGTGTATGAAAGTAAATCTTAGGTGACTGCAGTAATGTTAACTTCTGATGAGTGGACTTGCTCTAAAATTATACAAGTATAACTGAGATCACTGTCAGATCCACTGGCTCTGCTCAACAGGGCTCCATCCTATTACTGTGGTTGGCTTATGTGGAGGTCACTTGTCATGCATCAGATTGTAGGACAGGGTCTACACTGACATATAAGATCAAAATTATCTTTCTTTCTTTCTTTAGGAATTGGAAGCATATGTCGATTATTCAGATACGGAAAATGAATACAATAGGGAAGATTTTTACTGCTTTTCCCAGGAAGAAAGAGAGAGACAAGAACGAGAGAGACAGGAATCAAAGAGGGTGTTACAAGAATTGAAATCTGTCCTGGGATTTAAAGCTTCAGAAATAGAAAGACAGAAATGGAAACAGCTGCTATTCAGTGACCATGGTAAGCATTGCTTTTGAAAATTAATTGCTTTCTAAGAAAGGGCAGGTTTCTTGTTTGCCATCAACTTCTGACTATGTTAGAATTTGGACAGTGCTTAGCTATGGAAGTGTCTTTAATAGAGCTGTGTGGCCTTAGTTTGCTATTCCATCTCTTTATATTACTTGTAGCAATCATTTTAGTATATATTGAAAAGAACTCAAGAGAAACAGAAATTTGTCTCTGAACACATTAAACATAAAATATTAAAACAGCATAAAGAGAATTGTTAGGCTATAATCCTTGAAAAATGAACTGACTTTCTCTCATGGCTTTCCAGTAAATTACTTTTCAGAATTTAAAGAAACCATCATAAATTATCACAGACTTACAAAAATATATAGGTTAAAGTGAGGAGGTAGACTTTGAAATATTAAAGGCTCATAAAAGAGTAAGACTAGCTTTTGTTTCCATAAGAGACTGAGTATACAGAATACGTTTAAAAAAACCCAAAAACCAAACAAAGCCCTAAGAAGAAGAGTTCTTCCAAACTAGCCTTGACTAACTCTGAGGACTGTTGGGTAGCTCCACCCACTTGCATTGGAAGGCAGGAATATTATAATTTCTCTTGTCTCAACAAGACAGTCTGCCTCTGTTCCAGCAATAAGACTGCATACAACTTGATTTGTTTCACTGCTTGAGCTGTTTGATTTATTATCTTTAAAACTGGAAGTAGTTTGTCTTTTCCTTTTTTCCCTTCTTTTTCCTATTTTCTTCCCTTCCTCTTAAAGACAGGTTAGGAAAATCCCTCTAAAAATTTCATGTTCTATGTTATGAAAAATAATGCTCAAATCTGGCAACATGTCCAAGGATTCTGCCTCTGCCAGTGTTTACCAGAAAAAAAGACCATGGATTGTGTCTTTAAATAATTAGTGGGAGCACACAATAATAGAACATACCATTTATGAGACTGTTTCTTTTACATCAAACCCACAAAAGTATCTGTTCTTCACAAATTTCTTCTTTATGTCCATTTAGCTACAGCTGTGGTAAAAGAAATCACTTAGCCATCGATATTGACTTCTCTTCTAGTTGAGTTAAAAAAGCGAAGACATGAGATTGCATCAGAGTCTGCTCAAGAGTAGGATTTCTGTATTATCATTCTGGTGTTAGATCCGACACCACATAACTCTTCATATAAATCTCTTCAAGTCTTCCTTTCCACCCTATTGAAGGGAGAAGGAAGGAATCCTACCACCAGTTGAAGTCTTGACAGAGCTAGTGACTGCTGCAGAAAGATTTCTTGCCAGAAGAGCTTGCATGAGATATTTCCTTATCTAGGTTAGCAGCTGATACCTGTCCACATCAGTATATCCCCAGGCCATTTGTGGCCATAGCTGGAAAGAATCATCTGACTTCTCTAACCTTCAGTAACTGTTCACCTGAAAGCCTTTGTGGCTCATGTTGGTGCCTTTCCTTTTCCTGTGTCGATATTATGTTGTTTTGGGATTAGAGATTCAATGGTGGGGAGGGAGGAAAGTCTGATTTCCTCCAGCTGCTTGGGACTGATCACTGATTACTTCCATCCTGCACAATACTGGAAAACATGAGGGTGGTTCATGAAAGTAATTAAAAATGTCTCCTTTTGGCTCAGAGACTGTATGTGTCTAATCTAAAAGACTGATATGGACAGCAGACATAACATCTTCTACTAGTTTTTAAGGAATTTCTTCATTATTTCTTCAAAAGAAACACAAGTCGGTTAAATATGACATAATGGACCATGACATACTACTGCTGCAGACTTTAATTTATCCATACGCACGGGTCATTCCTTAAAGAAACATTTTTGTGAGCTGTGCTTTCCACATCGTTGCTGCCTTTGTCTTGAAGACTTAAACCCAGAAGGGTTCATATACTTGTCTCTATTGGCCCAAGCCAATGGATGGCCATGATAGGACACTTCTTTGTAGCCCTTTTAAATCTTGCTTTTAGAGTACAATCATATTCCAGAAATCCTGCGTTCTCTTAACTTGTGCTTATTGTGAATAGAATAGATTCAAAGAAAGATTCAGAGGCTTTAACCTTAGTCAATGCACCTAGCTAGCAAGCCATTCTGATTTGTCGGGTTTTTTGGTTTGTCAGTGGAGGGGCTGCTGAGGGTTTCCACGTAAAAGTTGATATGTCTAGAGAACACAGCATAAAGTCAACTAGAGATGATAGGCTGGATTCTAGAAGAAAAACATCATCTTAGCAGAGCACCAGACTAAAGCAAATTTGCCCAGGTGCACAATCACTTCTCGCCTTTCCCCTAACCTCCCCCCCCAAAAAAGTTCATTCTGTCAGTGGTTGCGTTGTAACCAGCTGTTTCCCCTTCTCCCACCTTGTCCATACAACAGTTCTGATACAGTTGTCTCTCAGATTTGGAAAGCTACACTCTAAGAATTGATGAATTCCACCTTGCTTATTAACTAATCAACTCAGCAAACTGGCCAGCTACCGATCTGAAGTATCTATTTATTTTTCGAGACATTTTGGCTTTGGAAGTATTCTTTGGAGGAAGTAGGCAATAAGCTTGCTCCCAAATGTAAGATTACTGTGCATATTCTTGCCTCTTCAAGTAAATAGGCAGAAATAAGCAGCAGCATATTTTTTACAAGATGGGGAAAGAACTATCCTGTTAACAATTGAGATGAGTCTGGGGCAGTGCTCCTTTGGTATATAAGGTTTTAAAACAAACAATACAAATTTGAAGCCACAGTCTTTCAGTGTGCTAATGACAATAATTATCAATGTGACAACCATAATGATGCGCCTGCCTTCAAATTGCTAAAGTAAATATTACTGAAATAGGATGCAATGGAAAAATCCTAATACCATAGATTTTGTTTCCCGTGAAAAGTTTGTGTATTTCCCAGAGTTATTTTCATCTCTGCTTACAGGGGTAAAGTCAGAATGGAATTAGAAAGGGAAATGCTACTTGGGAATCTGCTGTTGCCGCTCTCATTTATGTTCGTGCTGCTACTCTAATGGAGCTACGGCAGTTTAGGGAATCTGGTACTTGGAAATGGACATTATATCGTTTTCTTAAAAAGGAATACGTCTGTTCTTCAAGAAGTGATTGTACCGAGTTATACTAATCCTTAACACTGGGAGGAGAGACTTCCTGGCAAGCATCCCGTTGCTGGCAATGGGACTCGCTGCTGCTACTAACTTCAAGAGAGGCTAAATTAAACCACACTTTATTTGTGAGGACACCTTACCTGACTGTATGAATACGTGTTGTATTTATATGTTGTGGTGTATGAGATCCGATATTGCCTATAAGGACTTTTTCATGTACCAGCTGTCTTTATTGGATTAGGTAAACTGTTGTTTAAAATGAAGACAGTTCAAACCTGTATACAGTGCAGTAGTTTTACTTGTTTTTTTACTTTAACACTGAATGCATCATTTGTGTTTGATGCCAGTTTTAAACATCATAAATTTTGTGCTGTCTCTTTACGTCACAGATTTTAAGGAATAGTTACAACAAGTAGCTATCACATTTCACTTCAGCTTTGTGGTTAGAAAACACTGCTTTATTTTAAGTTTTGTTTGATTGTGGGTCTTGTTTCTGTTGTTTTGGGGGGTTTTTTGAGACATTTTGACCTTTAGAATTTTGCATCTTTTCAGACACAAATAAATTAATTATATATAGCAGCTTGCTTTTAGTTATAATTTAATTTTTTTCCCCCTCTTTAAGCTGCAGTGAAACCCTTGTCTCCTGTAGAACCACTGACGCTACTAAATAATTTGGAATCACATATGAATTCAGATACAGAAAAGCAGGACTGCAGCCAAATTTGTGATAAATCTGAAGAAAAATACTCTAATCCCAAAGTGAATGCTGCTGATAAAAGCAGGACAGAATATTTGTATGAAGATCCTGAGATGGTGAAAAACAAAGACAGCACTAATAATGAAGGTATTTCTACAAGGGCTGAAGAAAGAATGTGTTATCAGCACGAAGGGGAAGTTGAAGAACTCAAGCCGAGCAATGTGGATGGAGTGGAGGTTTCACAGTCTCCTTCTAAGGATGCATTGCACTCAAAAGTCAAGCACAGGCTGGCCCAGCTCCACATATCAACAGATTTAAACTTCACATCTGGTCTGGCTGCACAAGTTGCTGCCAGGTCTTTCACTTTTACTACAATGCAAGAAGAGACTTTTGGAGATGAGGAGGAGGAGAAGACACAGGAGTGTGAAGACCTTGTGGAGGTCTGTGAAAATGAAGATAGAGGCTCCGAAAGTGAAGGAAAAGTCTAAGTCTGAGCTGAACTTTGTTAAACCAACAGCAGGCAATTTGGTGGAAAAAACTAAGGTGGGGGTTTGAAGATGAAAGTACTGGATGGAAAAAAGGGAGACCTAAAAATAAAATATCTTGTTCCCTGAGTCCGATACACTAAAATGGACTTCTAAGTATATTGAAAATTTACAGGTAAGAGAAGTTTAGGCTGCATCCAAGAAATAGTTGGCTGTTGCCTTTTTAAGATCCTAGCGGTGGGTTTTGGAATTTGCCTTTGTGTTTTCTGTTTTATTTATTTATATTATAATGTATTGTGGATTTTTTTTTTCCAAAAAGAAGGAAAAATAGTGTCTTGGATTACAACAGACTTCAGTTTTTTTGCTTTCTGATCCTGTTGTCATGGTATCAATGTTTGTTCCAACAAAAAAGACAGGACATTTCTTTTGGAAGAACCTGACTGTTCCCTGTGATTTTCCCCCACCACTTTTGTTTCACTTCTTGTGTCTGCAGTGTGTTGGCTCAGCCACCGTAGGCATTTGTGATCCTGTGGCTGGTGAAGTGGCTCCCAACTAAAATGTAGAATTTTAAATAAAGACTTGAAAAAGCTAGTATTTTATGTGTCCTGGGGTATGGGGCTGAAATAGCATAAAGTTAGTCATGCTTCATATTAAGGTTTATTTAGAATTTTATGAAGGGTTAATAAATGATTTCTAGATGTTGTAATTCATGTTAGAGAAATGTGTAGTATATATTAGGGAGGGTTATAAGCACATCAGTAGAAAGTTCTATAGACAGCTAGAAGCTATCTGTTGGATTGATAATAGATGAGAAGTAAATACCTATTTACTAAAACAGCTATTAATTATTTGTTAACCTTTTGTAAATTGAACCTTAATATAATTGTTTGATTTAATGATTGATTGTACAGTTTTATGTCCTGAAGTAATTTTCGTAAAGCAAAATTATCCAAGTGCTCAACAACATACAGTATTTTGTTTAAACAGCATTCTTGCTTTTCCCTACTGTTCTTTTATTTTTCCTTAGATCACAACTGTAACCTGTGTGATTAAGAATCCATGAGAGAACAAGAATTGTGTCTTTTTTAAGGTGTATCTTGTAACTTAGTTGACACTGAAGTCTGGATGTTTGGTATGAGGTTGTGCGGATTGTTCTTTTCTCTGTGGCGGTGCTGCGAGGAACACAAACTGATGTTCACCTCACAGAGGAGCTGATTAATGGTTTCACTGCCTTCTCTTCCTTTTGCCCTCTGACACAAAATGCAGCAAAGTCTCACGTCCCTAACGGTGAGGGAGCTGCCTATTTGTATGGAATACTCTACTTGGACCTGGATACATTTCCAGTCACAAAACACCTCATTAGTTCCTTAGGGTATTTATTGTCTCTTGCTGACCCTGTAGAAGAAAGTGGGTTTTAGATGCAAGTGATTTGGAGCAATATCTTTCCAAGGATGCTGTTGTGGGAAGAGAAGAAGCTAACGAAAGCCAGCAGTTTAGGGTGGAACTCTTGATCATATGTCAGAAAACAAGTGCGTTCTTTCAACCTCCCTCTCTTCTATCAGTGATTTTGTATCAGCGCTATTAAATCTGTGGATTTTTTCACAGACCGTGAAGAGGTAAATATCAATTGATAGAGAAGGGAGTATGTGACTTGCACTGTTCTTTCACAATATAATGCCTGTCTTCTCCCTTACACACAGATTTTGGAAAGAGAATGTTTTGCAATTCTTCATTAACCAGTAACACTGTGCTCTGTGCCCTTAATTTTGTGTAAGTGACTGGAAGATGAACGGATGATGTCTTGGGCAACTTGTAAAAGAAAAAAAAATGCTTCTTATAGTATATTCAGAAGCTAAGTCGTCTCCTCCTACTGGTAGAGTACATTCTTCTGTAGGCCTGTAAAGGTTAGGCTAAGATGGTGAAACACTTTTATTTTCTCTGTGGTAAGCATTTTTTTAATCAATTCTGTTCTATCAGAGAACTGCTCTGGATAAATTGTGTTTGAAGCATTGTCCATGCTTCTCCAAAAGAAGTCTTCGTCATCCTTGACCTGAAATCCTTGAGTTCACAAAGTGCCCAGATATTTTTTGTTCCTAGCTAATTGTTCTGACTGCTTAAATGTATGTTCCATTAATATTTTTCCATTAACTCATCCACTAGCATCTCATGATCTGATGTTATGTATCCTAGAACTGATACTCCTGAGCTTTTCCCATGGGATCCAAATCATAGTTTACAATGTGTATGGCTATGATACCAACTTGGAAAAATGGTCAGATTTAGGATATAAATTATCACTGTCCTCACAGTTTTGGATAAAGTCAGTAGTAGCATGAGTGCTTTGCATTGCAACTAAAATATGTTTCAGATCTCCCATTTATAAAAGTTGCTAGCTCTTTATTCCTTTGCTGCAGTCTTTAGCAAAAGACCTGGAGAATCTACTTTGGCAGCTCACTTGGGACCTAGTTTTATAATACACTGGTCTTGGTGATGAAACTGGCCTAAGAAACCCCATCCATCATTAGGTGTTCATTTTCACCCATCAGCTGGGTCAACACAGGTTTCTGTGGCCATGTTAAAAACCTGAGTCCAGTTGGGTCAAAATTCCACCCTTTTTAGGGGTTATTTTTCATTGTTCTTATTGCAGTGATGCAGTTTACAGCATTTGCCTCCAAACAGCTGTATCAGCACACACTGCGTTGCTGGCGTGAGACACAGGATTGCTCACATTTACATTCTTGGCAAAGATGGCGTAGTGTGATATTACAGCCTTGACGTTAGACGTGGGTATGATCAAAGGATGACTTTTTGGAGCAAGCTCTGATCCTACGTTGAACAAATAGATTTTCTGCAAGCAATTTAACTGATTTCCATGGTCTTACTTAATGCAGTCTTAGAAGCTGCATGTGTAAGACCTGGGCTCACTTGCTTTCTCTGTGTCTCATCACATCTAGATAAAACAGCCATCAGGTCATTTATTTTGATTTATTTCATATTCTCCCTGCAGAAAAATATGCCTAACACTGTCCAGCACACAAAGCATGGCTTAGCTTGATTTGATAACCAGGTTCTATCTACATACAAATAGTCTGTTATAATCCAGATTTCCTCAAAATTATATCATTTGAAAGGACTGTGCATACATGCTGTAGATTTCTTCAAGAACCTGACCGATTTCTTGGCAATTATAATTTACTGTTGCATGTAAAATAATATATGTCAACACACTGAAGCGTGCATTAGTGCTAAAGAGTTGTGTTAATATATTGAGCTTGTCAAGATCTGAATGCTGTTCTGTGTTCTTTGGCTCATTATCCTGACAGGGATTTTTGTGAAAACAGAACATTTACTTCTCAGAACTTTCTAACTTTTTGAAACATGTTAAGCAGGAAATCCACACTAAATAATGGGTTATGCCAAAGGATATCAGCAGCCAAAATCCTTTGCAAAGAGCAGAGCTAACAATAAATGCATTTTCCCTATTCCGTTCCCAATTAACAGCTCTGTGAGGTTGTAAAGAAGCAAGTAATTATAGACAGTTAAATAATTATTCTCCTCACCTACCCAGAAGTCACTCCCAAGGCAATATTTTCTTCTTAGGTTGGATTGCAATCTAACCCTACATGTTTAATATTACTTGCCTTTACAGCTAAAGATCTAGGTAAAGGCTTATATGTGGACAAAAATCTATTATAAAAAAATTACTTGTCTCTTTTTTTAAGTGTATGTCTTCACGACAGAAATGAAACAGTGCTGCAATGGAAGCATCTTTTGAGAACTACAGATAATAGAGAGTCTTTCAAATGGAGTCAAATGTGCCTGTGACAACTATAAGCAAGATCCACAAATGTGAAGGCTTCTGCTATCAGTTGCAGTAACGAGATAGTTATACTCCTGACAGAGGATTACTGGACATCACTGAATCTTGCACTTAGTTATCCAAATACTAGATGAAATCTGGTGGAGTAGCCAATTTTATTGTTTCAGACTTTGTCCTGACCACATCTCTGTGTTCAGACTGTTCACAGTATTAGAAATTTTATGTGCATCTGAAGTGCAGAATTTATAACTGTTATTAATTTCTGTGCTAGTGAAAAAACATCTAAATGGTGAACTGTGTAGAGCTGTTGGCCCACACGGGACTTTGTAATCTTGTAGTCTGTCCCTTTTTTTCTTTTTTTTTTTAAAACAGAAACAAGGGTTCAAGCATACTAAACTGCCCTTGTTCTTTAAAGAATTTAGGGGAAGGGCTGATGTTTTTCTGCAAGTGGCTTGTTCCCAGGGCTAAATACTCTTTAGAATTAACTGGTTTTCATAGTGTCTCATCTGAGAAAGAAGGCAGAGGATGAGAAAGGCACGTGGTCAGTGTAAAGGGTCAGGCTACTCTGGGATCTTGTCTGACAGGGACTAAAAGCAGATGATGAGGGAAAAGAATGAAAAAACAGAGATCATATTTCCACAGGCTACTCCCCAACAATTTATGTCTCGGGGACTTCTTGAGCCAGTGGCGGTAGCTGTCAGATTAACAGGTCCTGATAGAATCCTCTTCCGTAAATCTGTTCAGTCTCATGTTTTGTCAATTATTAATAGTCCCAATGCAGCATATGCTAATCTTTATTACAGTCTTTTACAAACAAGAAGATTTGTCAATAATGTTTTTTAATTTTCTTTTTTAAACTGAGCAAGCCCACTTCTCTCAGTCCATCCACAGAGGTCAGGTTTTCTACCTTTTGGTTGCTTTCCTTAGAAATCTGTCAAGTTTTTGAAGTATAATGACCAAAGTGTGATGCAGTACTGCAGACATAACCTCAGCAGTACTGAATATGGAGCAATAATCACCTCCCATAAAACATTGAACCATCACTCAAATATATTTGAGTCCATATAGGTAAAAATATGTTCATCTCTTTTACCCCTAGCTATTATGATGACAAATGAAAATATTTGGTCTAATGGAGGAGAAATATTTATTCACTGTGAGCAGGATTTGGCTGGACAATGTT